ACACTTATTTTAGTTTTGATCTTTTGTAAATTTACACGACATGCAATTCTGCTAAGTATGGATTTCTTTCTTTCTTTCTTTCTTTCTTTCTTTCTTTCTTTCTTTCTTTCTTTTTTCTCTCCTTCACTCTGGAGAATGGTATTTTATTTAATAGACAGTATACACTTCATACATATCTCTTATCAGTGTCTTGAAAACCAAACAACTTTAAAAGTCCATAGCAGCTTCTGCAAGTACAAAAATACACATTTATTACATAACATATGGTAGTAAAATTTGTCAAGCTATATTATACAATTCAAAGCATTTTAGATAGAGCATCAGTCTAATATATTATATAGATGAACAGAGTATAATAAAATGACATTTTCTTTACACCATACAATACAATACTTGACAACAACATTAGCAAACTATCCACATTAACTGTTATAGGAGTATCTAAGGGAACATAGAGTGTAGAAATGGTTAAGAACCTCAACATCTATTTTCTTCTGTGCTTCAGATTGGGTGGGTGACATTGTACTCATCAACATGTTGGGGAAAAGGCTGGAACTATTATTTTGTGAAGGACAGAAGACACTTCTTCCACTACAAGCTGTAGAGCTTTATTCGCAACTTGCAGTTCCGACAGCAGTATCACCCTGAGGGTAAGGAAATCCCTGTGGCCTTTAGGCACCACCAAGATGCACATGGACACTCAGGAGTGTAACTGTAGGAGTGGCTGGTTACAAGGCGCAACCTACTTCACATCTGTGACTGAGGCGGCCAGCGGCAGGAAGGAGTTCTTTGGACCCAGAGTCCTGAAAGCTAATCACAATGCCTACGGCAAACAGGGCCATGTACCCTACAGGTAGGTAGCACCAGTAGCTAATCATAAAAACAAACTTCTTACATCTTACAGAAAACATTACCTTTTTCCCCTATGACTTAAAACTGCAACATTTAGGACAACAGGGAAGGAACATTTGACATGAAAGTTCCCTGATGTCTGGGAAAAATAATTCGGAATAAGCTAGTTTGTGGGAGAAAGGTCTATCTGATGGTGGACTAGAGAGACCCAACGGGCCCTGACTGGTTTGGCTCAGCGGTTGGAGCGTCAACCTGCGGACCAGAGAGTCCCAGCTTCGGTTCCCGCTAAGGGCACGTACCAAAAAAAAAAAAAAAAAAAAGAGGGAGAGAGACCCAGTGGGTTCTAAGCAACATTTTATTAATTAAATGAAGGAAGGTGCCTAGCCATTCCTTGCTCTAGCCCTTCACACTGCTGGCAAAGCAATAATCCAGGCTATGTATCAGTGTAACCTTCACAGCGAGAGAGAGGAAATGTCCATGAATATGAAATAAACTTATGGGACATAAACTATCTGTAAGCCATGAATCATTTGGAACAAACAAACATATGCAAAAATTTCTGGAGATGAGAAAACACAAATCCAGTGATGGAAAAGTCCTGACAGGCAACATCCTGTCTCTCTGTCGTCAGGATACGAGCAGAGAGACAGGACCAATTCCACGCTCTGATAAGGAAAAGCCTCCCCAACATTTAGGTGATGCAACTTTTTGGTCTAAACATTTTGCCAAATGGTCTCAATAAAAAGAATCACTTTGTTGTCCTAAGTATTAGCAATGATTATCTTTATGCTCCTGTCCCAGGTATTTTATACGAAAAAAAAAAAAAAATCATAGTAATTATTGTCTTGATGTCATTATTAGCCCAGCTTCTGTTCTTGTAGACATCAGATTCCCGTGGTTAAACGATTTTGGCTGAATGTTTGTCCCCAACATCAATCACTAACTAGCGTAGGCCCTGAGCCTGGGCTGGACACATCATCCCCCGTCAGAGCCGGGTGAGGATCCCGCACAAGGCAGGGTACCAGGAGAGCCCTGCCCGCGTTCCCTCTTTCCTCGTGTGATTTCACACGAAGCTTGAGTTGTCTTCCACTAGGCTGTGTGGAGAGCTGCTGTGTCTCTCTAAGTCTTGGCTGGGACAAGAACACACGCCGGGCTGTCTGCACCACTCCAGGTCCTTCAGTTGCCCTCAGGGGTAAGTAGTTCTGTTTCTCTTGCAGTGAGTTGGCTTCTGGAACACCAGAAGCATGGGAGGTGGCTCCGTGGGTTCTTTTAGAGAAGTTCTTTCCTTTTCCTCTGATCTGGACACCTTTGCTTTCTTTCTGAGGGACCAGTTTTTCAAACTGGCTGAACCATTTCTCAACCACGTGCCGGGGTGAAGAATTACAGAAGGTGTTTGTGAATGACACTCTCTGGTGCCATTTTTTGTAAGAGCCAGGCGGCTGCTGGTATGCCCGGCTGAGGTAGCGGGCATTCCAGAAACGAGACTGCAACTGCAAAGTCAGAAGAAAGTTTTTCCTGCTTGCTTTGAGCCCGGAACATGTCATCTTATTGGAGAAGAAGTTTCAGTGGGTGTGAACACGGAATGTTCAGCAATCTGAGAAAAAGCACAGTCCTGGGGAGTCACTGGTGAGCCTGATGGGGGAATGCCCGGGGAGGACAAGCAAATGTTTAATCTTGAGGGTAAAACCTTAGTGTTTTGGTTCGTGGCACTACTCTTGTCCACTGTGATCCACACAACCAAACTCTCATTAATAGGCTTTTGCCTCTCCATGTGCAGACGTGTGCTGCTTTATAGAATCCTCCTCTCAATGCAAGTGATTGGCTCCATAGCTAGTTTTATTTTGTTTCTTTGAAAATATCCTCCTGCGATCTCAGTTTGCAGGGCTGGTCAGCAGTGTCGGGCTCTAAGCAGTGCCGCTGCCTCTTTGAAGTCCTGAGGGCATCTGAGGTGTGTGGCGGGTCGTGTCCTGCTGCATCTGAATCCAAGGGCTGGTTCCTGGGCTGATCCTGTGAGGACAGGTGACTGCCAGATGCCACAGAAATGACCTCTGGCTTGGATTTAGGGAGAAGCTTCACATGATGTCCTTCATCACCAGACAAGCTTTTCTTCTCAGCATTTTTATCTGTGGCGTTTTTCTTGATATCTGTTTAAGATACACCTAACCCTCTTCCTGGAGGGGCTGATTCTGCTTCAGATGATCCTCATCTTTTTTATTGATTTTTTTTTAGATAGCGAGGAAGAGAGGGAGAGATAGAAACATCGATGAGAGAGAAACATCCTGCACGCCCCCCACTGGGGATGGAGCCTGCAACCTGAGCATGTGCCCTGACCGGGTATCAAACTGGGACCTCTGAGTCCATGGGATGATGCTCAATGCACTGAGCCACACCGGCCAGCTAGGCCTCATCTTTTTGTGAGAGAACCTCACCACAGCTGGACCTGCATAGCTCTTTCTGATCAAACTGCCTGGGGGGGGGGGGGGGGAGACATTGACGTGAAAGAGGCACATCGATGGGTTGCCTCCTGCACGACCCTGACCAGGGCAGGGGACCAAACTGCAACTGAGGCATGTGCCCTTGACCTGAATTAAACCTGCGACTCACTGGTCCGTGGGCCAACGCTCTAACCATTGAGCCAAACTAGCCAGGGCTAGATAATCTCCTTTTAAATGTCTTCTGACCTGAGTCACTCAGCTGCTGGGCGGCAGCCAGGCCTCGGGGCGGCAGGGTGAACTGGCACCGCACCTGCTGGGCAGCTGCTCCCTGGGCAAGGGCTCTCGGAGGTGGGGAGGGCTGGGGAGTCCTCGGATCCTGTGTCAGGGCTGCAGTGTCTCACAGAGGGCTCAGTTCAATCCCGTAGGGACTTTCAGGCCCAATAAGTGGACACGTGCTTCTTCTTTGCCAGAAGGACTCATCGCTGGTGATCTCTCGCTCAGAGCCAGTGATCCCCAGCGCCGGTCGTCACATGTTGATCACTTCATTCACTGTGTCTGACTTCCTTGTTATGGTTTTAGAACAGGCACGATTCCCAGTGTCCTTGGTGAAGATGTTGAGGGCAATGCTCTTGAGACAGTCCTTCTCTGACTCCAGACTGGGGTGTCTCTGAAGGGAGAGAGCCATCTGTCCTGCCGTTCTGGGGAACTGAAAGTGGCCGCACCGTCCGCCGTGGGCCAGCCCAGGACAAACCATCTCCCGGCATTGGTATTGCTTCTCCCGCTTCACCCACACAGCCTGCTGTCCGCCTGTCACTTAATTTTATTTTTCATCTCAAAGTTGTCGTTATGTTTGATTTTGGCCACAACACACAGATCACTGCGCAGGAAAGGGTGCCGCTCCTGCCTCTGCAGGGCGCTTGAGTTCGGCCGGCCGGCCGCGGCCGTCCCGTCGGAGCACACGAATGACCACAGAAGCGCACGTGTGCACACTAACAGAAGGCCTTGCCTCGGCCGCAGGCCGTTTCTGCAGGGCTGTCTCCAGGGCAGGAGATGGAGCATCCCCCTCCTTTCTGCTCCTGCCTTCATTTTCCTCATCATGGGTTGCTGAGCTGGCAGGACACCCCAACCCTGAAGATGTGGAGGAGACCCAGGAGCCCAGCGTCTGCAGGGGCCTGGGAAAGGCAATGTCCCAGTCTCACCCCGCCCCTCCTCCCAGTGCACAGTCTAAGAATTCTGACTGGACTTATTTTTCATTATAAGAGTATAACTATATGATGGGTATGTAGCACATCCTTTTTAGAGTTTTTTTTTTTTTCCTCTCCAGTTACATTTTTCCTCCAGAAGTTTATTTATAGATTTATTATAAAAGTTATTTATATTATACATTAAAAATATATAGTGTAATACTACATCATACTTATAAGTGAAATTTATAAGCTGAGATGTTTACATGAACTAAGATCTATGGGGGGATTTTTCTCAGTGAAGAGACCTTGAATTATAAAAACAATTCCAGAATTTCTGACTGACTATTCCAACTACAAATGGCTTTATGTGATCTCTGCCTTGGAGAAGCCATCCCTCGGGAAGATGCTGGACACATTCTCCAAGTCAACCAGAAGGACTCGGCTGTCTTTCCTGAATCTGACAGAGAGCAAGAGGCAAAGCCAAGCAGACAAAAAGAACTTGAACACCCAGAATTCATCTCAGCAATTAAACAATTAGAACCGTACTTTATTGCAGAATAAGTTTACAGTTGGAAAAAAGATATTTACTAAAGCCACAACTTTATTCATTTGGACAAAACTTTTATTGCAAAACCTTGGTACATGAGCATTAGTGATTTTAATTCTATATGGATATAGAAGATATTTTTAAAAAACGGAAATAATATATTCCAAAGGCTGTAATAGGCACAATATATATGCTTGTATTGGGTCTGCAAGCATTATACTATAATTCATTACACGTGATCCAAGAAGTTGCAGATTTTCAGCACTATGCACTAAAACGATACAAAGAAGTATCATACTATGTTGAAAAAGCATGTACTATCAGTGCTACAGAATGGGAGCAGCAAGCCAAACCAACAAACAATTCCTTGGGTTCTGGAAGAAGTAATACATTTATGGCTTTTTCATGTTCCTTTCTGAGACTGGTTAGCAAGTCTGGCAAGTGGAAAGGAAGAAAGTGGTCTATAATAAAACATTAAAGACATCACTTATGAGGCATCTGATATTTAACAGGTGCAAAACTGGAAAATTAAAACTGAGCTTGATCTTAGAGCAAAATTGTGAGGTACTAAATCAGCTTCCTCCCACCAATTTTTTTGGCATAAAAATCTTTATGCAGAAAAGTAAAAGTTTCCCAACTGACAAGGTGGAAATATTTAACATAAATAATTAGAATTTACTTTTGGTTTTTAGTAACTGTAAAGAATACAGGTCATCCAAGGACTAAGAAACTGGATGTGGTCCTTTGTACGGCATTTTCTTTTGTTCTGTAAAAACATGGGTTGAAATATGTGTTCATGATGATGGTGTATCCACACTGATAAAGGTGAACATGTGGTAAAAATAAGAAAAAAAAAAAGGCGGATTTTTCCGAGCTTACTACTATACCTCATATTGAAATTGTCTAGAAGGTAAAAATGTACATCTTAGATTCTCAACGTTTTTATTTTCCAACTAGCAATTAAACATTATTGCAAAAGTGAACCATGCAGTATTTTTACCTATCAGCTACTGTGTTAGTGATATAAGGGGAAGAGAATTCTTTTTTTCCCTTTAAATGCATAATGCTCACAAGTTATCATGTAGAACTCAAATCACACACAAAGGCAAATCATGAAGAAATGTTAAATATTTCAAAATCCCCATGAAGGCATGCCAGAAATGATGCTGTTTCTGTAACAGAATTGTTGGAAGCCACAGCTAAAGCAGTAGGAGCTACTGCAACTTCTAGGTTTTTAATGTTGCTTTTTAAAATTATTATTGGGAGATTCAGATCAGGGGGTCTGGTCTCTCTGGAGATTAGCCCATAATTTCTGCAGGTTCAGTGACCAACTTGGATCCATCCCATGCTGTCTTGAACTGTTCAGGAATGGGAAATTCTCTCTGGAAAAAGACAAGAGGAACAAAGCTATTTAAACCAAGGGTTCCTTTTGCAAGCAAACAGAATGCTGATTAGTGTCACATGATGGACAAAGACATTTTATGGAACTCAAACCTTTATCATGGAGAAGACGTCCATGTCACATGGAGACTTGCATAGTCATGGGTCAGTTCTGTGACTGTCTGCCAGCCTCATCATTAAAGCCAGAACTTATTGGGAACCAGCCATTTTTAAAGCACCGGATATATGTGAACTCAGTTAATCTCCTACATCCCTGTGAGCTAGATACTACTGAGATGCCATGTACACCGAACAGAGGCCTGAGATGTTAAGCCACACATAGATGATGTCACTAGTAAGCAGGGCAGCCAGAGTTCAAACCTAGACAGCCTCTCCCACCCAGACTCTCCACCAAACTCAAACACGCACAGGAATCAACTTGGCATCCTGTTAAAATGCAGATTTGGATTCAGTAGATCTTGGAAAGAGAATGAGGACCCGCATTTCCAATAAGTTCCCAGGGGATGCCGAGGCTGCTAGGTCCCAGTCACACGGAGCTTTATCCGGTGTTATCTGTCTATCATTTGATGGAATATATAAATGTGTTTCGGATTATATATAAATTCCTCACCCTTCATCTGGCCACCCTTCTCTTCCCACTGGGAAATACATGCACACGTACCACATCCCCCCTTCCCCTGCCACCCACAAATGCAGAATAGCCAAAAGAAAAGTAGTTTCAAATCTCTCCCCAGAGAGGTTCTCCAGGCATCTCAGAAGAGGATCCTGTGGCTTCCCGGGACGTAGCAGAGCTGAAACCACCGGCTGATGGCTGTCGCCTGTGCTCACCATGGGCGAGATTGATGTTTCATGGGTACATTCATGAGTACAAGTCTTCCTAGATGTAGGATCCAACCATTTCTTCCGGAAGAAGCCATTTATTTATCTATTTTAAAGGGAAGGCCCTTTGTATAATGAGTAATAAATTCTCTTTGAATGAAATCTGTGATGCAAAGTCTTATGATGAAGCAAAGGAGCCACAATCTTTTTTTTTTTTTATCCTCACCCGAGGACATTTTTTCCATTTTTTGTTCAGACAGAGTGGGAGGGAGAGAGAGGAAGAGAGAGAGAAACATCGAGTGGCTGCCACCCGCATGACCAACCAGGGCCGGGGACAAACTGCAACCGAGGTACGTGCCCTTAGCGGGAACCGAACCTGGGTCTCTCTGGACCGCAGGCCGACGCTCTAACTGCTGAGCCAAACCGGCCAGGGCAGGAGCCACAATCTTAATAGCTCTGTGTGTGTGTGTGTGTGTGTGTGTGTTGCCAATATCCCTTCTAGGGCTCCTCCTGATGAGTGAACAAGGCCAGGTAGAGAATACTCTGGAGTGAAGGCCCCTTCTGATCGACTGTACTACAGCTATCCCAGTTTGTGGAGGGTGTAAAGGATAGTGAGATGATGACAGACCTTCTCTGGGGGACTGATGTCTTTCGGGATGAGTCATCCCTACCAGCCACTCCCAGATGACAATGCCCGTGACAGGACTTCTGTATTGCTCCTTCTGACCTCCAACTGGAAGATGAATGAAGAGGGCCTAGGACAGAGGGTGCAAGATAATTTATGTAGAGAGGGAAGACTACATTTCCAGGCTAGGGTTTTGAGCTGTGCTCATCCTTCAGAGCAGTGGGTCTCTTGGCTCCATACAGGAATCACCTGGGAAGTTTGAACAAATACAGATGTCTGGGTCCCACGCCCAGGGATTGTAGTTTAATTAGTCTGGAGCGCTAAACGCCAATGCTTTTCTTAGCGGATCTGGTCCGCCACGCAGCTGAGCCTTCTGCTTCAACAGTTGCAAAGTCCAGGCCCCGCCCTGGTTTTCTCTGGAGCAGTTCTGTAGTGGCTTTAGCATTTCAGGTGTTTGTTTTAGATGGAGAACATGTGAGGAGTCTCCTCTAGCTCAGGGTTAGGCTGGCCATACACCTAGAAGTGAGACATGGCCCAGTGCTGGCAGAGTCTAGTTTTTTAGACTTAAGTGATGAATTGTAGGCTGCAATACGTAGGATGTGTCTGGGTAGCACTGGAGAACTTACTGAAAGATGAGGAAAGGAGAGATTAGCAGGCATTTGGTCCTGTGCAAAATGTCAATGTTCAGAAAACGTCCTGGGTTCAAATAGCCCATAATGTTCATTTCTATTTTTGCTTTCCAGAATTAATACATAGAGAATACTACCTTTTTTAAATTGACCCCATAATTGTGGCTGTACTGCCAATAATCACTCTCCTTGCTTTGGTAGCCTGGCTGGTAATGGCATCCGGGGTTAAGTAGGTGGGTTGGGCTCATATCTTGGAGAAGAACAGGATTTATATTAACTATGGGCCAAATGTCTCCGTGGATGTGTTGGACAGGACCAAAAGAATCTGAGAGCAGTCATATTGTCTGCCTAAGGAGCTTAACTCGAGTGCTGACAGCTGTGTAGACGGTTGGTGACTGACCCACAGGCGGGCGGGACATCCCCTTCCAAAGGTGTGCCTGCTGGGTCACTGCCCCCACAGTCAGACTCAGAGGGGATGATCTCTGCAGCAATCCCAGCAGGAAGTGGTAACTTGCTTCCAAACAGTAACAACTGGCAGGTCACCACGCTGCGGGATGCAGAGGGTATGTGTTGATGCTTCCTTCTCCGTGTGTGACGACATCTACACAATCCTGTTAGAAGCTGCTTTGTTGGGGAGAGGAGGCAAAGAAAAGAAGTGGTGGCTGCCCTGGCAGGTTTGGCTCAGCGGTTAGAGCGTCAGCCCTCGGACCAGAGAGTCCCGGGTTCGGTTCCCGCTAAGGGCATGTACTTGGTTGCAGTTTGTCCCCGGCCCTGGTTGGGGTCATGTGGGTGGCAGCCAGTCGATGTGTCTCTCTCACATCGATGTTTCTCTCTCTCTCTCTCTTACCCCTCTCTCCCTCCCACTCTATCTGAAGATAAATGCAAAAATGTCCTCAGGTGAGGATAAAAAAAAGAAGTGGCAGCAAAATCACTTGGGCTAGTGCCTCTCTGAAGGGTAGCTGGATAGACTGCCTGCCTATTAAAACACAGATTCCCAGCCCCCGCTCCTGAATCCCACCTCTAGGTGCAGACTTTGGGGAGCAGTCATTTTCATCAAGCTTCCTGGAAGATTTTTTTTTTCTTTATTGATTTTAGAGAGAGAGGAAGGGAGAGGGAGAGAGAGATTGAGACATCGATGAGAGAGAACATTGATTGGCCGCCTCCTGCATGCCTCTCACTGGGGATTTGGCCCACAACCTGGGCACGTGCCCTGACCGGGATTCAAACCAGTGACCTCTGGGTACATGGGTCGTTGCTCAACCACCGAGCCACACCGCCGAGCTTCCGGGAAGATTCTTATGCCGAGTTTGAGAAACTCTGATGCAAGAATATCTACACACGTTGGTCTGCTCATTATGATCACCCCTCCACTGTCCCCCCAAAGCATTTCTCCCTCTTTTCTGTTTGCCTCCACCATTGCAAAGGACAGTATATAACTGTAACGGATATGAAGTCAGATGCATGCTGCACTATTGGATAAAATCTCGCCCACGGAGACAATCTTGAGCGACCTGCCTTGACAGTCACACTGGAGTGCGCACAGGGAACGAGGAGGGAAGGGGTGCGGGCAGCTCTCCGAAAGCCTCCCCTGCTGGGAATGACGCTACAGACGGAGCTCAGAGTGGGCAGCTCATTCAGCAACCTCAAAGAACGTTAACAGTGAAGGCTCAAGAAAAATCCCCTCCAGGCTTTGGGAAGGTACGTACGTAATCGCCGCCCTGGGGGATCAGTACGTTCATCTCCGAGGATTTGGCGCTCACGAGCTCACAGTCCAGCGCGTCTTCGCCGAGGTACACATGGCAGCCTTCCGTCTTATTGATGGAGATTGTTGGCACTTTCCCCATCACCTGAAATAGCAAAGAACGTCTGAGACCAAAGCAAAGACACAGAAATGACAATATTCCCAAATAAATACACTTCCTGGGCCTAACCAAGCATTAGGAATAGCTGGGTCAGAGCTGGAGGCTGGTTAAAGGCACGGTCTCTCGGCTGAATAGGTAGGTGTCATTTGGGGACAGAATGAAAGGACCACACAAGGGGACTCTCAAACCTCAGGGTCTCTTTTCTGAGACAAAATAAAGGGATAATTTGAAAAGAGCAGCTAAATGTTGAGAAAAGGTCTCACAACCCCGTTCGTGGATTTGAAACATATATTTGATTTCATGATAAAAGAAACAAGATGCATTTGCCTTTATGTGCTTAAAATTTTAGTTTTGACAAATCTCCACATAAAGTCAGATTAAAGCAGGTGCTAATATTGTCATTTAAGAGGAAAGAAATTATTCTGTAATTGAGATTTCTCCTGAACCTAAATAAGAATAAAAAAGAAACACTACAATTCTTTTCACACAAAGTCTTTGCTAGATAAAAATCTCACTGGCTGAATGTGAAGCTTAAATGAGATAATGAGTGTCTAGGTATTTTGAAATGTATTAATTTCAGGAGTGAAAACTGGAGACTTAGTTCAAGCCACTCACTGTATAGGCAAAAGGGACCATACACCAGAGGAGCGATTCTTTGTGTTGTTTATAAAAATCTAAGCGCTCTAAAAATTTTGATCAGTCTTAAATTTCTCTTTTAACAGTAAGTTTTCAGACATCCCCCCAAATCTCTATAGGGGTAGACTGTTCCCCCAATGACCATATTACAACTCTATAATTTTCCTTCTTGTGATGGTAATTGAAGCGATAAAGACATCTCCTCTTTCACCCTGAAGAAAAGGCTGGATTGCAAAGCAAAGGAGCAACTCCTGTTGATGGTGCAGGTGATGTAAAGAATTCCTTAGGGGAGTCTAGCCAGGTCACCACACTTCTCTGTTTTCTCCTCTCCCCACAGAAACTGGACACTGAGTTGGAATTGAGCCCCAGTACAGAAAAAAAGGGAGAGGTAGTTCAAGGTCAGGTAAGCACAGGGCTCTGCCATAAATAGAACAGAATAATAATACATATATCTGTGTTTCGAGAATGTGTCAGCAGTAACGTTTTGGTGATCTGGATTTGTTTATTTGATAATGATGAAGAGCATTTACATACTGACCAGACCGTACGAATACCAGGCGAGTGAAGAAAAGGAGACCCTGCAGTGAGTCCTCGGTGGCGTGTTCATGAGGCAGGGTGAGGCCACACGAGGCAAGCACGCGGTGCTCATACAGTATATTTATATATTGCTATTTTATGTTTCAAATGCTGACACACCCTACGTATCTGCAAATCTGAAAAAGCGATAACAGAATTTAAAAAATAGCCCTGAGATGGTAAGAATGGTCATTCCCACAGCATTCGGTCGATACTGCACAGAGTGGATTATACACATGCTCTGTTCCCCCGGTAGTCTGTGAACACGTTGAGAACAGAAACTGTTTCTTATCAGAACTGGGCCAAAGGGTAGCTCCTCTGCTGAGTGACAGGTGACATATGACCTTGCCCAGGCCAATGCTCTAGCATTTACTACATGCTTCTGTAATAATTCTGTTTTTCAAAAATGTATTTCTCCATAAAAATGTCCGTGGAATCTCCTAATCTCTCATAATGTGTACTCTGTTCTAGGACAGCTTGCCAAATACAGAATTGTTGGATCAAATCTATTAACTTTGGTCCATGCCCTGATTTCCCTTTCAATCTTTTTAACAGCGGTATTGAGGTAAAATCTGCCAAACATAAAATTCACCTAGTTTAAATGTGCAATGTAATTATATTTAGTGAATTTACAGAACAGTGCAACCATCACTTCAATTCGGTTTTAGGCTATTTCCCCAAAATAACCCTGATGCCCATTTACAGTCAATCCCTGTCCTCACCTCCAGGCAACCACCAATCTGCTTTCTAGCTCTATTGTGTCCAGGCCCTTTGAAAACAACGTATTAAATGTATCAATTAGCTAATGGCATCCACTTGGTTTGAACATCCAAAGTTCAGAAAATATTCAGAGAAATGTCTCTGTCCCCTCTGAACCACATTGCCAAGTTCCTATCCCTCTTGGACAGATAACCATGGTTTATCTTTCCACATTATTTTTAGAAACCCTGACCATATCCTTAAAAAATTATGATATATTTCAAACAAAGAAACTCATAAAATACATGTAAATCCAGATATGCCTGTCAAACAGCATTATCAGAGTTGAACATTTGGCTCATTTGCCTTTTTTTAGACTATAATCTTACAATATCTTTTTAAAAAATATTTTTTCTTTTTATTGAATTTTTTTTAGAGTGAAGGGAAAGGGAGAGAAAGATAGAAACATCAATGAGGGAGAACATCAACTGGCTGCCTCCTGCATGCCCTCCACTGGGGATTTAGCCCACAACCTGGGCTTACGCCCTGACCAGGAATCGAACCGGTGACTCTTGGTGCATGGGTCGATGCTCAACCACTGAGCCACACCAGCCGGGCTGGAAGTTAATTTTTCAAAGGAACAGCCAGAGAAGAAAAATATGGCACTGGTTGGTCTCTGAAGGACAGATATACGGGATCAAGTCTCAATAAGAAAGCTATTCAAGCAAGCAATGAGAATAGCAGTAAGGGAGTAAGAAAAGAGAATGAAAAAGATTTGAGAAATATGTAAGGAAGGAGGAACCATCTAGCCAAGCTAATCAGGTAAATAGTGGAACTACCAACTAAGAGACCACAGGGATAAAGCTCAGAAGTGTGACTGCAGGTTCAGATCAGGAAACTTTTGTTGGTGATTAAAGCTCTCAGAGTAGATGCGAACTTGTGAGCAGGGCAGTGGACTAATGGTGGAGCCTTGGAGCCTTTGAAGCCTCCTCCATACCATCCACCACCTCATTCACCTCCCTTCTTTCCTCCCCAGATGTAACTACTCTTCTGAATTTTGTGTTTATCATTCCTACCAGGTCTGTCCCTGGGGTAAAGTGACCTTGCGTCCTCATAAGTATATTTAACGTGTGCGTATTGTTGTGCATGTTTTCAATCTTTATATAAAGGGACACATTGTACAGTGCCTGCTGTTCTGTGACTTGGCTTTATTGTTCAATGTTGCTTTTGAGGTTTTTACATGTATTTTTATACATGTAATTGTAGCTCATACATTTTAAGTACTGTACAGTATTCTATTAGTGGGATTTATTTATTCACTTACCAGTTGGTGGACATTTAAATTGTTTTTGTTTTTATTGTTATTATGAATGATACTGCAATAAACATTTTTAGATATCTCAAGGTCATATGTACTAGAGCGTCTTTAGTGTATACCCCAAAGAATGAAACTGCTTGGTCACAGGCCATGAGGGTCTTTAACTTTATTAGATGGTGTGAGTTTACTCTGCAGAATGAGTGTAATAGATTTGCTCTCCTAACACTGATGTATCAGGGGTCCCATTGTTCCACTACCTTAGCAACCCTCGTACTATCAGACTTTTTAATATATGGGCAGTGTATTTTTTTTTTTTAGAGAGAGAGATAGAAACATTGATGAGAGAGAACATTGATTGGTCGCTTCCTGCATGCCCCCCACTGGGGATCAGGCCCACAACCTGGGCATGTACCCTGACTGGGAATCGAACTGGCGACCTCTTGGTGCATGGGTTGATGCTCAACCACTGAACTACGCCAGTTGGGCATATACGGGCAGTCTTTAAGCTGCACAGTTATTATATACATGAGTTTCAGCTAATATGCCCCTTGTAAAGTAAGGATAGCCTGAATGTAAAACTTTTGAGTGTGAACAATATATTTAATTGTAGTATTATGTATTCTTATTTCTGTTATGTGGGTCATGAATATTCTTATATATTTACTAAAAAAAAATCCGTTTTTTTCTTCTCTGGATTGCTTTAATATTCTTTGCCTATTTTTCTTTTGGGCTACTGTCTTTTTCTTAATGATCTGAGGTAAGTTCCTTACAAACACTTTTTGATTATCTGCATTACAAGTATCATTTGCCTTGTCTCTTAGCTTTGTGTATGATGTCTTCTATTGAATATATAATTCTGACTTTAATGTGGTTAGATTCATCTGTCTTTTTCTTTATAGTTTGTGTTTATTGACCCCAAAAGCAACAAACAAATGAAAATAAAAGAAACAAACTCATGGATACAGACAACAGCATGGTGATTACCAGAGGGGAGGAGGGGTGGGAGAGGACAAAGAGGGAAGAGGGGGTTGAACATACGGTGACAGAAGGAGACTAGATTTTGGGTGGTGAGCACACAATAGAGTACACAGATGTTACATTATAAAGTTGTACATCTGAATTTATATAATATTTTCAACCAATATTACCTCAATAAATCTAATTTTAAAAGTTTTTAAAGTAGCAGTAGTGAAAAGCCCAGTAAAATAAAAGAGAACCATCTGTAAAACTAGAACACAATTTTAACAAACATTATTAGGAAACAGCAGATAATAAGAGGTAATTAACAATATGAAAAGAGTGTAATCAAAGAACGAAGTTATAGTTGGCCAAAGGTAAGAAGTCCTTTAGCTTTTGCATATTATAAAATCCCATTTGGCTAAATCAAAATTATTAAAGGGATGCAGATTTTCTCCTGTTTTGCAAATTCAATTTTAATCCTACTATTCAGGTTGTTTATTTGATCTCCTTGACCCTTCAGAAAACCCCCCCTCCCCTTCTGCAGAACCTGTTTTTCCTGAGGGGAAAAAAATTCTCTTCAGGATGACGTTATGATGCTGGGAGAATCTCTTAGTACTTTAGTTCATTCATCAGCTGATTCATTTAAATTTCTCACTCATCAAACATTTATTGGATACCTGCTATGAGCATGTACTGTGCAAATTTCTGGGGCTGTGAAGATTAATTAGCTGTTCTTGAAATAGCGATGGTGAACCAGTGTTTGGAGTGCACAATGGAAGATGTCCTAAGAGATTGAAAAGGATGCATTAACACTGCCTGAGAAGTAAGAGGGCTTCCGTGGGGAGGTGATGATAAAGCTGCGTCTAGAGGACGAGGGAGAGGGGTGTTCTAGAAGGTATGAGGAACCCCTTGCGGGCAGAGTGAATGGTCTGTGCAGAGTCACAGCGAGGGCCGAGCTCGATGAACAGGTTCACTTACCTGCATTTGAATGTCCTTGGAGTTGATCACTTCCACAATGCCCACCACATTGTCAAAAACCAGACCAAACTTCTTACAGTTGTCTAGGAAAAAAAACTCCACTAAATATACACAGCATATTTATACAAGCAACTTCTCACGGTAACTATAGAGCCGTCGTTCTGCCCTACCGATTGTAATGGAATTTATTTTCCCTTTTATCTGTAGCGTAGACTTGTTGCACTCGAAAATGTAAGCCACTTGTTTCAGTTCAGTCTCTGAAATCACAAGGTCGTTCCTGTCTTCTTGGTATTCCTAAAATGAAAAATATATGCAAACATTAAATATAAGGCGGTGTAGATAAATGGAATCCATTGCATACTGAAATTACTATAGAGTTCAGCATTCAGTAATTATACCTTTTCAATATGTTCTTTCTTTAGAACCATTTTCTTACAGACTAAACTACAGGTCTTACTTTGTCATTGTAGTGTTGGGAACGGATGGAACCACTGCTTGGAAGGGGGTTGGTGTCGATTTGCAAGCAGTCAGGTATGGGACGCCCTGTAGGGGCCGAGGCTGGGGCAGGAATGGGAGAGCTTTATGTTGAGCCTGGGTGCTGAGTCTGGACTTGATGAGGCCGCAGCAAAATCTGCGGTGTCAAGTACAAGCTGGACAAATAGGCTAGTGAGGGTCACGCCAGTGGTCTCAATCCCAGTGTATCTTCAGACCATGGGAACCTTTCTGGTGACTTTGGTCCTCAATCTTTAGGGAGCCCCTGGGATTGGCAGGGGGGCACCAGCTTCATTCAAAGTGTCCTTGTCCTGCTCACACAGTGGTGGAGGTGGTGGGTGACATGATAGGTCATATCAGCACCTCCGTCAGGGGGAAGAAGGAAACGTCCTACAGCTGATCAGAATGCAGCACAGATGAAAGTTTCTGGAAGGGGGTGGGGTCAATTCATAGACAGACAGCAGAATGGTGGCTGGCTGGGGCTGAGGTGAGGGGCACGGGAAACTAGTGTTTAAGGGGTACAGAGTTTCGGTTTTAAAGATGAAGAGTTCTGTGGATGAATGGTGGTGACAGTTCCACAAAGTGTGAATGTGCTTAAGGCCACTGAACTGTCCCCTTAAATGTCAGGGTGGTAAATTTTGTTCTGTGTGTTTTACCACAACTAAAAAATAATTTTAAAAGGTGAAGAAAGAATCAATGGGAAATAGTGAAAAATCGAAACTGTTTCTGGAAGCATCCAGAATGGCTGGGGCTTGTATTTTAGGTACTTCGCTTAGAAAGCCTCAGTTAGACCTTGGTGCACAGTTTTGCGTTAGTGCTTTTATCAGGGCCTGGGAGGGACAACGGTGCCAGGGCATCACTCACGACTCTCCACTTCTTCCCTTCCAGCTCCAGCACCGGGGCATGCTTCTGAAGAGGACGCGACTGCGGAACCCTGGGGCCCGGAGAGTGGCTTTTGGTGGGCGATGGCGTTTGTCCTCCTTGAGTTCGCAGGCTGGGATTCTTGTATGTCTTCTGGGCATCTGTGACATGCCGGAGCCCTGGGCAGGTGACACAGAGACACAGTTCTTTACAGTTTGTGCAGAGGGAAATGTCCCTAACTTCTGAGACCGACATGATGTAAACAGTGCACGAATGTTTGTTAATGCTGTTTTCCTAGCAGCCTCGTGCTGTCCCAGAGGTAATAGGCAGGATTTGAGACGTGTGTAAGTTAGGGTTCAGGGAAAAACAGTAAGCATTTTTCAGCTTGAGGGAGTTTTTCTTTAAGGAGACAAGATGATAGATAAAAATTCTGCAAAAAGAAAGCCATCTTGCCTAAAAGGATCACTTGCTTTACTTCTCCCACGGCTAAGTCATTCCCCAAACATAGCCCAGAGGTTAGGGCATTCCAGTAAGTGTATGTCAGAGTACAGAATCAATTTAAGGTTACAGATTCATACACTTACTTTTCAAATGCGGAGAAAATGCAACTAGTTGAAGCCAGAGAACAATTTAGGACTTTGGAGTTTTAACTCCCAGCCCAGTTCATAGGGACACTTATACCATAAATCCTATTACCCATGCAAAGCACAACTACATTTGCATAAAGTGTTTGGCAACATGGTTGCATTAAATGTCGTATGATTTTTCTCCCCACTGCTGTGGCTCAGTGGTTGAGAGTCGATTCCTGGTCAGGGCACATGCCCAGGTTGTGGGCTTGATCCCCAGTGCGGGGTGTGCAGGAGGCAGCCAGTTGATGTTCTCTCTCATCAATGTTTTGCTCTCTCTCCCTCTCCTTTCCTCTCCCTGTAAAATCAATAAAGAAAAATTATTAAAAATATATCCAATGTTGTATGACTTTTTAAAAAATCAACTGTTTGCTGTGATGACAAAAGTAGTTCAATGATATAATTCCTTGACAAGCCTGTACCCTGCTTGAGGACACAGGTGCTATAGTTTGTCATTTTTATTTCCCTTGACCTTGATGCCTTGGCTGTAGGTGGTGCTGTGACATCGGGGGCTGAAATGCTGCAGCAGCGTACAGTGGTCGATTTTGAACCCAGACTCTCCGAGTTCTTTCTGGTCCGTGCAACAGCCCACCGAGTGCATCCGCCTTGAGATGAAAAACACTGCAGCTCCTGCCTTCTCAACAGCAGCCCGTGTGTGTCAGGGACAGGATGGAATGGTGCATCCATCACTGTGGGCTCTGGGAATCTGTGTGCCTCCAGGGAAACAAGGCCTGGTTTTTCTCACCTTTCGTAATCTCCTCCCCTTGGTTAAGTTGTGCAAATAAAGCTGAGCGGGAAGGAGAGGACTCCTCTTTTCTGCCTTCATTCTCAAAGAGTGGAGGTGGCCCCGGAGGAGGCGGAGGAGGAGGGGGTGGAGGAAGGCCAGGCCCAGGGGACAGGGCGCACAGTGGGGTCGCAGTGGACGCTACAGGACCCTGTGGGAGAGAGAAGATGGGAAGCACTGGGTTGAGACTGTGTCCTTGCCGAGCGCTAGGATTTTGCTAATGTCGCTTACAACCGATGTTGCCAATGAGGGATTGGGGTGCAAGACGCACAAAGGGCACCCAGGAGGTCCACTTGTACATCATGGTTCTGTTTGGGACGACCTGGGACCGAGAGTGGATTTGCCTTGAAAACATGGAGCATAACTCAGCTGTCCAGACCGGTCAGTAGAAACTCCATATCTGGGATTCACGCAGCTAACTCAGAGGCAAACAAAGCCATGTTCACAAATTCATGTCCAAAGGTCAGGGTGCGGATATCTGCAGGGAATGGGACCGTGATCCCCAGGGAATGTGAAGGTGCAGCTTCCTAAAATGACATGCCTATAAGGTCTGGCCTTCCCTTTGCTCCTTTCCTATTATTAATAGTTCTCTAATTACAATAGTATCAATATTATATGTCAACTGTAATTGAAAAATAAATTTGAAAAAAGATTCTTCTTTATTCATATTGTATATCTTAAAAACTGAGCAGAAATCTCATCTTTTGAAGTTATAACACGGGATGGTTTGTTTCTATGGGAGACCAGCCTGACTCCATCAGGGTCTTCAGGTCAAGTAGAAAATGATCACACAAGTTCTTGAGACTGACCAAATGTTTTTGTTTTTTCAGTATCTTAAAGTTACTATTATGTTACTGTGCGTCAAACAATATTCCAGCCCTCAGTTTCAGACACTGAGAACCACAAAGTATTACTTTTAACCATAAGCACTCTGATGGTAATAATAATAACTCAAATAGTCAGTGAAGGGACAGTCCATTCTCCCCCATCTGAAACGCAGCAGCTTTACAGTCCCACTATTTTGTGGAAAGGGGAGACGATCCTGGCTTCTAAATCTGAGGATGATTTACACGGTTCCCTCGCTCTCTGAACTCAGAGCCTCTCTCCAAGGGCCATAAAAGGACATTGAAACCAATAAGCCACATATTCAACTTTTTGGAACTTTGATACATTCAGATGGCTGACCCAGGAACATTAAACAAAGGATTTACTGCAACAAATGTTGCATATAAAAGCCAAAAAAATAAGAGAACTCAGGAGCAGCTGAAACTCTGCCTTTGACTTACCCTTTGTGCGTTCTGGCTCACGCCAGCATCAGCCCCAGTGAGAGCACAAAACTAGGCTCTGGTTTCCAAGGTGACTTTATAATTAGCATTCAGGGGCTTTGCTGTATACAGTGCACTGCAAAGCAAGCTCATTAGACATTCCGCTAACAGGAGCTCTGTGGGCTGCCCCTCGCAGAGAACCTTGACCCTTTCTCCTCTCCGCCTCCAATAGGGCATTGCAGCCCCTGACGCCACAGCCTTGAGTGGCAGCCACGTCGACTGGAGTCAGCCCAGCATTAAGTCTTCAGACGTTCCAGTGAAAACAGAGGGGAGATGGACAGGGAAGGGAAGGTAGCCAAAACTCTGGAAAGTCTAGTATGTGCCAGGCACTAATTGTTTCCATTCATGGAGCATATATTTGATGTTCAGTATAGGACAGGCTTTATGCCAGGCTCTACGCCTAACTTGTCTGAACATTAGGACCATCTAGGGATCTCTTAGAAATTCCCAAACCCAGGCCACACTGCAGAGACACTCTCTGGAGAGGCGGGATGCAGGCATCTTAATTTTTGAAGTTCCCTAGGTGATTCCATGTCCTGACACATTTGGGAAAAGCACTCTGTGCCACGTGCTGAGATGGATTTAGTCAGCACAACAATATACTGGGACTACACTGAAATTCTTCTTTAATAGAAAATAAAGCAGGGAATCCGAAACTCTGACCCAATGATAAATGGCCAGTAAATGGCAGACACATAACTCAAGCATATACCTGCTTGATTTTAAAGCCTTCTTTAAGCCCTGGTCAGTTTGGTTCAGCGGTTAGAACATCGACCCGCGGACCAGATAGTCCCAGGTTCAGTTCCCACTAAGGGCACGTACTTCGGTTGCAGTTTGTCCCCGGCCCCGGTTAGGGTTGTGTGGGTGGCAACCACTCGATGTGTCTCTCTCATATTGATGTTTCTCTCTCTTCCTCCCGCTCTATCTGAAGATAAATGAAAAAATAAATAAAGCCTTCTTTAAGATTGGTGGTTGCCTGAGATGAGGTCCAGGGGAAATAGATAAGGGGGGTCAAAAGGTGCAAACTTTCAATTATAAAATAAATAAATCCTAGGGATAGAATATACAGTATGGTGCCTATAGTTAATAACATTGTTGTATATATTTGAAAGTTGCTAAGAGAGTACATTTTAAAAGTTCGCATCACAAGAAAAAATTGTAATTACATGTTGGATGAATGCTAACTAGACTCATCATGTTAATTATTTTGTAATATATACAAATTTCAAATCATTATGTTGTACACCTGAAACTAATATGTCAATTATACCTCAATAAAAATCATTTAAATATTAAGGCCTTCTTCAGGGAAATCTTTCATGCCATATTCAGACTTTTTAAAAACTTATGTATTTATTTATTTTTTAATTTTTTTTATCCTCACCTGAGGACATTTTTTTCGTTTTTGTCTTCAGCTAGAGTGGGAGGGAGAGAGAGGAAGAGAGAGAGAGAGAAACATTGACGTGAAAGGGACACATTGAGTGGTTGCCGTCTGCACGACCCAACCAGGGCCGGGGACAAACTGCAACCGAGGTACATGCCTTTAGCGGGAACCGAACCCGGGTCTCCCTGGACCACAGGCCGACGCTCTAACCGCTGAGCCAAACTGGCCAGGGCTCAGACTCTTTTTTATAATAATCACTCGTCAAATGAGAGAACCAGAGGTAGAGGCTACCTTGAGGCATATGTAGCATTGCTCTTGGGCCTCTTGGAGTTGGTGTAAAACCGACTTAGTTTTATCTCCACTGCAGCTCGCTGCATCCCTCTATCCCTAAGCAGCCGACCGAGCTCCCATGGCCACGCCGGAACCGGGCTTGCTCTCCTGGGGATGTCAGAAGTCTCGGGTGTTGATACTGGCACCTCGGCACAAGATCAGCTGCCACGCTCATTTGCTGTGACTCTGCTCTGGTTCTAGAAACTGGTCTCTTGCCTTATCCATTTTCCTGAGTTCCCCCTGGGTCCAGTAATAGGGCACTTGCACCCAAATCTTGGTTCCTTGCCTGTTGCTCAAGTTGTGGCTCAAGTTGTTCTAAGATGAGGACCTAATTCCCCCGCTGGGGACAGCAGTAACTTACGGCATTGCCTCTTGATGGTATATCCTTCATTTATTTACTTATTTATTTTTAAAATCCTCACCCGAGGATATTCTTCTATTTATCTTCAGAGTGGGAGGGAGGAAGAGAGAGAGAAAGAGAGAGAGAAACATCGACATGAGGGAGACACATGGACTGGTTGCCTCCCGCATGACCCTGAGCAGGGCCGGGGACCAAACAGCAACCGAGGTACGTGCCCTTGACCAGAATCGAACCTGAGACTCATTGGTCTGCAGGCTGACTCTCTAACCGCTAAGCCAAACCGGCCAGGGCAGTGTGATTTTCTTTTAGAGAGACACTCTCATGGCAGAGGTAATGCACCAGGTTGTCTAGACTGAAGGAGCAGAGGGTCGGATCAGGGCCTACAGCCCCAGTGGCCTGAGTGTCCACTACTCCTCATTCTCAGGGGGTTGGAGGCCCTGTGGCAAGTGCAGCTGAGCAGAGAAAGGAGCCTTGGGGGAGGGCAGGCTTGGCGTGGCTCATGCTTTGCTCCGTGTAGGTCCGGGTGTGGGGGTATGAGAAGGGTCGCTTCAGAAGGGCAAATTGAATTAAAACAACAATGAGGTATCACCTCACACCTGTCAGAACGGCCGCCATCAACAAATCATCAAACAACAAGTGTTGGCGAGGGTGTGGAGAAAGGGGGACTCTAGTACACTGCTGGTGGGAATGCAGACTGGTGCAGCCACTATGGAAAACACTATGGTGTTAACCTCAAAAAATTAAAAATTGAACTTCCTTTTGACCCAGTGATCCCACTTCTAGGAATATACCCTAAGAAGCCTGAAACACCAATCAGAAAGAATATATGTATCCCCATGTTCATAGCAGCACTATTTACAATAGCTAAGATCTGGAAACAGCCCAAGTGTCCATCAGTAGACGAATGGATAAAAAAGCAGTGGTACGTATACACAATGGAGTACTATGCAGCTGTAAGAAAGAAAGATCTCTTGTCCTTTGAGATGGCATGGAGGGACCTGGAAAGTGTTATCCTAAGTGAAACAAGCCAAGCAGAGAAAGACAAGTATCATATGATCTCACTTATTTGTGGAGTATAATGAACATAACAGTCTGAGGAACAGGGTAGACCCAGAGACGTGGAAGTGGGGTACAGACTGACAATCCCCAGAAGAGGGGGTGGTGGGGGAGAGACAAACCACAGAACTTATATGCATGTATGCATGAACAGTGGACATGGACAACAAAGCTGGGGACAGGGTGGGGAGGGAGGGGGGAATTAGTGGGGGAAAAAGGAGAAACATCTGTAACAAAAATTAATTAATAAAAAAAAAGAAGGGCAAATTGCCTGGAGGTGCTGAGACAAGAGCTGGGAAGAGCCTCTGAACCAACAGCACCTGCTCCAGGAACCCGAGTGCATCCAGGGAGAGCCACAGGGTGACCATCTAACTAGCCTGCCGACTGCAGTCATTTCTCAGAACAGAGGCCTTGCGACGGGGCCAGGTCTCCACAGGCAGAATACAACTAAGACGATTAAAAAAGAGGCCGTTAATGTGCAAGTTATCCAGATAGTTCTGGTCCTTCTAAAAGAACACTTTTCATAATAAAAATTCTTTTATGGTGTGTTTTACCCTGACAATGACTTTAATTGCATTCCTACAGTGTAGAACTTGACGTCTACAAGCTCAGGACCTACAGGACGGTCTGGGCCTGGCACAGGTCACACGGATGGCAAAGTAAAGGCCAGGAGCCTGAAGGGAGACGCAGCCTTA